ACACCTCCGTCAAGCATGTTGCCGGGTTGTTTGTACCATTTTCAGGCGATTTGTAATCTGTTCTAGAAAAACGATGTGTTTTTTTGGATTTCAAAAAGCATATAGAACAAACAATGGATGCAATTTATGAACATTTATCCATGCTGAAATTAGATGTAGATGTCTTAGGAGTGAGATAGAGATTATTATCTAATATATGCATCCAATGAAGCATTCCATGAAGTCTGTTGATAATCAGAGGCTGTTGTTGTGCTGCAGAAACGTTTTTTATTTTTGTTTTGTAGGCAGACCATGCAGACCTCAGAGAGTTAAACTTGGGCCTGCGACCATAGTTTTACTGTATTTTGTTTTGAAAATCCACAGCGGAGGTTTGTGTCGTACTACATGCGGTGTGTTTGCATATCTCTGAGTAGCCAGCGATCTGAGTCTGTTGGACATAAACTCCGTAATAAATGTAGTCTACATTTCATAAGAGGTGTAAAACCTGAGAGCATTTTAAATCGCATTTGAACTAAATGCTTATATAATCTGTAATTGTATTTGATTTAATGTGTGAACGAGGCGATATAGAGAAGGTTAAGCTGTCATTATTAGGCTGTAATGTGTTATATACTGTTGGAATGGGTAAGCAGGCCTATTGTTTTTGGATATTTGTGGAGTTAGGTGGTCCGTGAGTGTTTTGTATTGGTTAAGTGTCCTTGGTATGAAAAAGTTTGAGAAACACTGCGCTAGTGGATTGTCAAAGGGGGAGCCTCGTTGCGGGGAAATTAAACAGATGGCTAGTCCGTCCCTGAAAAATGTCTACGCACACGTTATTATTAATAATAATAATTACAAACAAATTGATTAAAAAAATTGATTAAAACAATTATTATAATTTTTTTTATTTTGTCGCAACCCCCACTTTGGGAAGCCCTGATTTAAAGGATCGGCATATTTATTTCCCGCCGCATCAGATTTTGATCTGTTGTCCCCGCAGGGTTCATGACTCCAGACGAGAGGAAAGTGTACGAGAGTATCCGCTCCCCTCACCTCAAGTACTGGATCCCCGTGGTCTGGTTCTCTAATCTGGCCGTCAAAGCTCGAGAGGAAGGACGCATCAAGGACAGCATCGACCTGCAGCTGATTCATCAAGTGACTACACACTGTTTTATTATTATACGCTGCTCCTGATTCATCCTGCTGCATTATGTTGATGTTTGAAATACATAGTTCACATATTTCACATTTATTTGCATATGTTCCACATTTTATTCGGATATGTCTTCGGAAACTTGTTGGGACATTTTTCAAACAATTTTAAGTGTGTCAATTTTAAGGAATATTTGACATTTTTCATTTAATTTGAAAACATTTTCCACATATTTTCAAGAATATTTAAAGAATCTTTTTTGAATTTCTTGACATTTCATGATTTTTCTTTACATTTAAAACGTAATTTATATATAAGATTGTTTTACATATTTTAACAAAACTTGTTAGACTTTTTAATTTTTAAAAAATGAACTTTTCTGACATTTTGAATGTTGTTTCCGACACTTTACACGTATTTGATGGCTTTTTTTACACAAAAGTGATCATTTTTTCAAACTTTCTGAAATGTTTCCGATTTAAAAAGACAATATTTTCCCCTGAGGGTTTCATTAAGCCGCATAAAATGTGAATACTCAAGTAAAGTAAAAAGTACACTACTTGAGTGAAAGTACTTTCCATCCCCTGCTGCTCCGGTCTCATTAGCTCATAAATAAATCCAGCAGAGACCAAATGGCATTCAGCCCCACAGACATTTAAAGCCTCAGAGATCTGTTGTTGGAACATGAGGAGAGGGAGGGTCCGATCCTCCAATCAGAAACACTGAGGGGGAACTTTCCCACCAGTTAAAACACAAACAAGAAGAAAACTTGACCTTATGTCGAAATTAATCCAGCTTTTAATAAAATGACCTTAAGAGCAAATCAAATGTGCTTCAACAAGCTTTACAAACAAAGATTAGGATGTTTGAAGTAGGAACACTTTTATTTTAAGAATCTCGGTCATCATTTTGAGATACTAAGTCAGATCTTCACAATATTAAGTCATTGTTTTGAAATGGTAAGTCCCTTTTTCAGACCACTAAGTCTTCATCTCACAAAAAAAGAGAATATTTTGATATACTTGGTCATCTTTTGGGATACTAACTCGTTTTCACCAACTCATCATTTGTCTCCCTCCCACTGTTATAAATGCACTTCCTGTTGTAACGCTTGTGTTTCAGGAGATGAACGTGTTCAGGACTTGGTGTGCGACGCTGTTCGGATACGACTGGGTCGGCATCCCACTCGTCTACACTCAGGTCTCTCTCTATTATAACATCCATCTGTCTCTGTGAGTGGTTTAGAGCGGATGCAGCTCATGAGATTAAAGTAATCATCATCATCATCATCATCATCATCACCATCACTGTAACTGGATCTCAGAGAGAGAGGAAGCTCAGAGAAGAGCATCTTCCTCCCTCAGATCATCAGACTGATAAAAACCCGGAACATATCTTAAAGGGGACCTATCATGCAAAATGCACTTTCTGATGTCTTCTCTACATAAAGATGTGTCCCCGGTGTGTCGGGGAACTCACGCAGCGTCAGAAACTAAAACCCTCTCTTTTCCTCCGTACCTAAATCTCTAAAAACGGGGAACAACGGAGCTGATCCAGATTTGCGTCCGATATGACGTAATATCTGAAATGTGGACCCACGGCCCTATCAGAAACGTTGCTATCAGAAACAATGCCCGACTGTTTTGGACGTAATATGGTCGGTGTTTACATTAGCATCGCTAACACTCAGAGCTAACCTGTACTGGAGAGCATGTGTGTGAAGAAGCAGGAAGTAAAAAGGAACTCACCTTGTGGTATAACCGGCAAGAGAGAAAGCCTTTGAGCTCCATACTGTTTCAGAGACAATCCTTGATAATCCATGATATGGCGTTTCATCACGGCAGTATTTAGTTTAGACAGTAGCTGCCGGGTCCCGCATAAG